TGGTCTCCTCGGCAACGGCTGTCACCTGGTCGCGAATGTCGTGCCACAGGTCACCCGCTGTGGTTATGCATACCACATCACACAAGCGTGCAACCATCGTCTTCTCCAGCTCAGTACGTTTCGCCTCAGTACCGAGGGAGAGAATGTTTAATTTACGACGATTCACGGCGGGAGTGCAATAAATGGATTTACGAAAATATATGTACAGTGTACTGGATGGAGCTGAGTGTGGCATTGATCACAAAGTGGTGCGGACCAAACCCCGCAGATAACTCAGCTTTAAACACACTGTAAACAAGCAAGCAGTCCGACTACGAGACGGCAGCAGACACACGCACACTAGTGCCGATTGTGAGCCATGTCCGGAGCCAAGCAATCGTTTTGTGAGTGGAATGTGACACCCAATCACAGCTTGAACGGTGATTCATTTGGTAGTGTCTTCGTCAGCTCGGTCAAAAGGGCTGTTTCACATGCTTTATCAGTGACGAACTAACTAAGATAAACTTCAAAGTAAATCGCAGTCCAAGCTGAGATTGCATACCGCATTCCATTCACAAAATAGATGCTCTAATCAAATAGGTCAATATAAGTCATAAGGTCATTAATATATCGGAGGTCCAAGTCCATGAACTTTGCCTGGAATATGGTGATGGGATGACAGTTGTGATGGTGTTTGTGCCGGGGTTGACGAGACACATGTTGTGATTCAGCTCCTCATTAGGGCGTCGCATGGCCGTCGCCTGTTTCTAAGTGACATATGATGTCAGGTAGAACAAGAGGATAATCTTCGGTAGGCGACCGTCCCAGCGGAAAAAGGGGTTCAATAAGAAACAGGCTTAGGCCAAATCATCGCCCGTGAGCGCAGTTTGGTGTGCATGTGGTTCTCATCCACATTCTTTCTGGTTTACAGTGGATGTGGATTGTGTGGATAGAAGTGCGGGCGGTACAGTACAAACCATCCGTGATGCCTCTGTAGGCATAAGCGTCATGTGGCTGTTCGTAGTCCCAGTGACAGGCAAATCCGGAAACAGATACCACCAACGGATATACCCTACTTACTTCCACTTCACAGAGGACAGGGACTATCTCCTTTGCAACCACTTGGCATGCAACAAAAGCAGAATAGAGTGATACGCAACACTGCACGCATTGACACGTTTTCCATAATCAAAATGAAAAGTACCGTTAAAGGACTGTGTCGAGACATGCACGATTCTCATATTCACGTAACAACCGCGCGGAGCAATCAATCGGTTTACTGATTTGAGTTACTGAATCACCTATGGAGGTCATATCACTCAAGAGAACACTGCACATGTTGATAGGGCTCGTGTGGCTTTTCAAAGTCTCAGCCAGTTATGGAGGCAGCAGAATGCAAATTTAATGGTTGGACGGAGGGTTTACAACACTGCAGTGGAAGCAGTGTCAAAGTATACAAAGCAGAGACACGGCTAATGCGCAAGGAGGACACTTAGAGACTGGTGGTGGTTGACCACCGACACTTGTGAAGTACTGCTAATGTCTGGCAAGAAAATCGAATGCTCAACACTGGTGTTCGTCATATGGAGTTTGATAACAGACTCTCTTGTGTATCATCGGAGTGCCTTTTTAACCCGAACCACATACGGCTGTATGATTTTCGGATTTTGGAGCAGTGTTTAGCGCTGCTCGCGAAGATCAATGACCTAGTTGTCCTGGCGATAGACTCCAGGCAATATGTGCCAAGTTCCACTTCCAGCTCAGACTACCTCTACCTGATAAGTCCAAACCAGGACGAAACGCGTTAGGGAATTCATGGATAGAGGAGAGCAGCACGGAGACCCTCCACTCTGTCATGTACTTCGCATACTTGTAAGCCGGCTACCTCTGGGGGGTGTTGTCAACCAGTTCTATACCTATTTGAGTTGGATCTTCGAGTAACCGACCAAAGGCATAGTAGATGAGGGAACTCATCGAGATGCCGATTCGGGTTGTGACGTGCGCGTGCGGAGAAGCCGAATCTGTCACATTCATAGCTAAATACCTTATTGGATATGACATAGTCAAGGAGTTCGTGGTGTACGTACATTCATTTCCTTATTCCTGGCTCTTAAACACCCCATCTGGTGACGCTTAATACTTAGCAATTCCTAAAGAACAAGTAGTACAAGAATTGCCATTACTAATTTTGATTTAGCGGCACAAGTTCACCAAACGAGCATAGTTGGGTAGGTCTAGTCATTGTTATCTGAAATGTTAGCATAAAAGTGGATAAACGCAAATCCCTCGTGAAGGAAATTCGAATAAAAATGAAATGACTGTTGCACAATAAAGCCAAGCAAGAGACCGAGGAACACTGTCGCGGAGTTCATTAGTGTCACACAATGCTCATGACATAAGAGCAAATAGAACGCACTACACCATGTATATCGCTCAACGAGCCGATTTATCCACAAGGTAATTTAATGGAGTAGACACACAAGAGCAAGTGATTGAACAGCCAATGCAGATTTCGGCTATGCAAGGGAACAATCACATGACTGACTAAGCATGCTGTAAGTGGTTGGAAACGTCATAAGGTAAAAAGGATCAGAGCGAATGGGTGAACAGACCGACTATTGCTCGCTCGTTCAGATTTACGTCATGGTAGTTATATCTGTAAGTCCATTGCTTCAATCGTTAAGAAGAAGTAGACGGAGAATAAAAGTGATATAGCTCAAGTTTGCCAAGACAGCATTAAGTGGCTTATATTCAAACTAAAAGAGATGACAAGCCGCCTAGCAAACGTGTGGTAAATAAATCAAACTATTGGCATGAGTGACCGGCGAACCAATAAGAATTGCAAGTAGATCGAATGGAAGAAGACAGAAATAGGAAAAGAAAAAAGGCACTCTGACGACGAGCGCCATAACCGAAAAGCATACTGGTTGGCCTTATTGCAGCAAAGGAATCTCAGCAAGATATGCTTTCTTCAATAGACCGATCGATTCCTTAGACAAAGTGCATTTACAGGACTGTGCTAGTGTCCTACCGATGCAAATGATCATGGAACGGTTCTTTTATCTGTGTACGGTAGTTAAACTACAGAATGAGCTGCGGTGTGCTTCAGTATAGCCTGCGTGGTGTTCAATGACCAAACGATCCACAGAGATGAAAAGATAACGGATATTGGATACACCTCCAGACTCTTATTTGCAACCTTAGTAGCCCCAGCGTAAGTAATAGTAAGTGTTGTTTCGCAGAAGTACAGCCGTCAGCACTCGTTTCGCTACAGTCTTCGAGAGTCCCTTACCTTCCAAAGATTCAAGTGAACTACGTCTCAAGATTGCTTTGGTAGTTTGCATTTAAAAGTCGACAGTTCCCAACAGACTTCTATTGCAGACACAAGGAATGAGCTAGTTATTTACGTGCGCTGGTACCTTGAAAATGTAGTCCATCGGTCACAGACAGACGATGAACCAAACGAGTGTAGCCTATTTTCAGTGCTGGTTGCACACCTCGGGGAATGCTGAAGTACAAAACAAAGGGTCCGCGTTGGCATTGTCATCTGTTCCAGTAATGATTCCCCGATAGATGATTAGGCTCCCGCAAACACTGCGTACGATTCACAAGGAACGGAGCCAGACGCTGTTGGTTCGCGTGTATCGCATACGCTTCAACGGACTACAGAGAAACCGTGTACTTCAAGATTAGCATAAAACAGGGAAGATAAAGTTGGGCTTTTATGTAGATGAATACGCGTGTAAATCATCTATGCCACCGAGAAAATCAGTTAGGTGGGATGCGCCGGCTTAAGTCGAAATCACGGATAGTACTGAGCGACCAAAGTTGTCCGAAGCTTCTCTGGTGAAAGCTTTGATTAGGCACACTTCATGTCAGCGCCCCAAAATTTGGTAACAAGCATGCACTAGAGACATCCGACCAACTACCGGACCGCGATCGACCAAAGATATGCTAGCGCCTGTTCGTTGAATGCCAACTGACCCGATATCCACTGTGTGTTGTTTGCCACTGCCACAACTGAATGCTTAGAACATTTGAGCATCCAATGAAAAACGGCTTACGAAGGCATGAATGTCTCAAGTACGGTAAAAGGGATTAATTGTAACAGCAGTCAGCAAACAGCCCACAAGTGATATCAATCAATCACCATAGCTCCTACCCTTATTAAGCCTCACATGAAGCTTAATCTATATACATGTTAGTTTCTTCTACCATCTTTACAAAAGACTTCGTTGCTAGGACTACAAGCACAACAACTAGTACTGCCACTACCACAAGAACAACTACTACTGATGAATGGAGGAGCAATTTTGAAGCACTTCTTGTGTTAATGGAATGCGACTAGCAATCTCAATATGGACCGAGATTTGCAATAAAATGAACCTTGGTCGATTCGATCAAGGAGAAGATCACGGGGAAGATGGACGTAGGGTGTTGCCCGTCAGAAACACTGCACACCCCGATGTGCCTTGATCCTCACCAGGTAGGGATAGCAGGCATCGAACCCTTGGCCTTGGGGATGTTAGCTGAAAGCTTTATCTCTAGGTCAGCGAGTCAAGGCAGGAAGCATCTAATATCCAGCTACTTCATCAGCTACGGTACCAGTGTACGAAGTTGAAAAGATTCAGTTTATGCGAATTGTGGCCGACATTGAGATTGCGAATTTCAATCCAGTCAAACGAATTACCTCAAAATGACCCATCCAGTCAGTAATGACCAATTCTGACAAGCGTTGCCCGCTGTGGCCAAGTGGCCTTGGCTGACTTGCCAAAACCCCAGGTTCGATTGTCTGCTATATCTACCAGATGAGAATAAATTAAGCTTTAAATTTGTCGTTGAGCGCAGTGTTTTCGGGCAAGCAACACACAATATCCATAAACAACAACGATGACGACGACAAGGACAACAACAGTTACTACTATTGACACAAAGGCTTTACCATTCCGATCGAACTACATTAAGACAAGAGAGCCGAATCAGGGTAGTTTTACACCAAAGCACAAGTACTGTAAACTCACCTAAAGAGCGAACAGATGGCGGCTCTTCCAGTGTGTGCTCGACACTCGCTTGGACGATTAGCTTGGAGCTGAAAAGAGAAAAGAAGTGTTGCAGGATACACAACGCGTCAAACTAGAAGATTGAAGCTAGGGACGGAATGCGTTCATGAAGAAAGCAAAGACCGCACAGGTAAATAAGTAACTGTAAGGGAGAACAATGTGGATGCGAAACGGAAATTGCTGTAAAAAGAAACAATAGCACATTGACGATAAAACGCCACCGTTAAAATGGGTGGCAAGTATGAGAGCCGCTGGAAAAAACTGCATTGAAAAGTTAAAAGTTCGTGTAAGCGAACATGCCTTTTCGATAAGTTATCGCCAGCCTTGTACTGTCAGCAGGCCGTGCTCAGTTTGATATGAATACCGCTGATCGCCGCGAATTGCATCACAACTGCAGACTGTGCATGATTCCGTACGCCGTGGGTCACAATACGTTTGAACCAGAGGAGTTCAACGTGTGAATGAACCCATATGGCCGGCTTAATTTGATGCCGTCTTAGTCGGACTACTTGTGTTTGATACTCAGCAATTTGTGTTGTAGGGAACTCAAGGACACGGGCAGTGGAAGCCGCAATGAAGCTGCCTCGCCGATGCTGCTTTATCTCCCCAAAATTGCCGGCTATCTCTGGCCGTGTACTGGCATAATCGGTACGCTGTGCCGACACTTCGTTGCCATGCGACCACTACAGGTCGCATATGGAAATACTGAGGTTGACCACGCCAATGCAAGTTTGAATTGGCGATCTGCGAAATACAAAGCAGAGGCCTTATGTATTCGACCACCGGCCATGCGTTACTGCTAAAGTGTAGGCACATGAACCCTGAATGCTTGCCCGGGGTACTCAGTTTTATACCAGCCGCTCCTGCTTCTCCACTTATTAGTCCTGATCCCCTAGGTCAATCGAGTTACACGGTAGTCAAGACTCGGCTAAAATAACGGATGCACTGCGGCTGATGATGTCAATGACTGGCGTCCTCAACGTTCGCCTAAACAAGGACAGAAATAGCAAAATAATACACATCAGTTCAGAGGTTTGGAAACAATCGGTTTGGTATAGTAGTTTGGTAACGTTTCGCCTTTAACACAAAGGCTTCGTCAGACCAGGTGACTACTCGATCGGTTCCAAATATCTTCCAAGAATTCAATACACATCAGGATAGTCGGCCTGCAGGTGTAAGCAATCCGATTTGAAAGAGCCCTCCAGTGTAGCATAAAGTGGTCTAATTCTAAGCATCGAATGGAGAACTTATGTGTTACGCACTCCGTTCTTTCGTCAAAAATAAGTAATACTTCAAAGGAAGGGGTGGCCAAAAATGGTAACTACCTCAACGCCCCCACCGTACAGCAACCGAGTCCCGGATGTATACGGTGACAATGACCGTACTGAAACGTTGTAAACCCCTTCCGTAAACATGTATGCTTAAATCCAGTCGACCCCAAAGTAACAGTACGAAAAAATACAAAAGACTTAGAAACGAAGGTGACAAACTCCTCGGTAAACATGCCCCCTTGAGGCGATACAGGCAGTGTTTTGATTCATCTGAAGTTAACAAACCAGAGTTAAAGTGCCTGAAAGTACACACTGCGTATCCCGTGACGCGGAGCTAATGGTCATCATAAACTATGGTGGGCACGTGGGAAGGATATGGGATTCCTGCGCCAAAAAAACATGAACCTAGCGCACGCCAAACTGTTAAAGTCACAAAGCATCAGAAATGCGCCAGTACTTGGTACGGGTTTTTGTAGGTCGTACAACCGTAATCATCTTACTAATGGGGAATAAGTACAAGAGGAAAGGAAAACAAGTAAATATTCATGATCAGGCCGTCAACACCTTACAAACCACACAGTCACAAATGTAATGCTACTAGGAAAAGTCGGTATCGAAGAGACGACATTCTTTTCGCTACATCGTGTGAGAAATCAAAATTACACTGCACTTATCTCAACATCATAAAGAATAAACAATCAGTTCGGCTAAGAGACGACAGCTAATATGCCGCTGGTTCATGATGCCAACCGTGAGTTGTAAGGTCTTGAGCTGAAAAAAGTGGGCCGCGTGCAAGTCAGCTTCCATGCTGAGGCGGATTAACAATACCCAGTCAAGTCACCCTGTCAACACGAGATTAGATCTCAACGTGGTACGACGATTTGCGTGCCTCTACGATTCATCGAGCCATGATGAGTGATGCTTTTTGCACATTCAGAGCCATTCACACCAGACTGGACATTAGTTAAAGACAAGACAAACTCAGTTTCTTGGCCCTACAGGTTGGGGGTTCAGTCCAGTCCGAGCAACGAAGTACGGTGGATCCAATACACACGACTCAAATCCCAAAAACAATAATAAACAGCTGCGGAAAGATAGTGTGGTCGAATGCAAATAGAATACGAAGAAGATGGAAGCAAGGAGGTGCGCTAGATTAATCAGAATGGAACGAAAACTAACAACCAGAAGCAAGAAATCGAATGTAGGAACGCCACTGAAAGTGCGACTGCGCCATGTCTAACACGGTCTTCGACCATTAGTGTGGAACGTCCCGAGGTCCCCATCCAAGCAAACGGCAGGCACCAGCCTGACCAAGTCTCGCAGTCAATTTCTTCAGGATTCTATACCATGTCATGGACCGGCCACCTCGCGGTTTCGCCGAGCTGGGTAAAGCCACAGCGAATAGTGGACGCCAGTAAGTCGATCGAATGGGCATAAGGAGGACATGGCCTAACCAAACAATTGACTAAAATTTATCAAACACTCGACAGAAGCACCAGAAGGCTTCTTGCCAAAAAATAAACTGGCGTACCTCAGTATTGCTCACCCGGTGTTACAAGCAGACGTGAGCAATACTTCGCAAGCACCGGTGGTCAAACACGATCAAGTGTTTAATGTCTTCGCCGCGAACTGAATAGGTCTCTGATCTACACAGTAAGACTATTCTTATCGCAGCGCTATTCACTGGCAGGCTGCTATCTCGCCTTATCCATAGACTGTTGAGTCTCTGGAAAGCCACATGGGTCTAGCTTATACGTCAAATAACTACCCCAGTGATGTGACTATGACAGGTGACACAGCTATCAAGGTAACTGAACCCACCTAACACTTCCAGGGGCTCTTCGGTGATAGCTAGAAATGGAGGAGTATCGGTCCAGTCGTGCAACAGTACTTCGCACGTTGAAGGTGCAAAGCATACGCTTAAGCGTGAAGCGCTACTAGGTAGTTAATCCAGTGATGTTTGTATGGTGACGGCGTCAGAACCAAGGAGATAAATAGTCCGCATACTCCAGTTTTGTCAGTTGATTGCCTGGCAGAACTTCCACTATAGAATAGTCTGAGAGGAACAGAGTCATTCATGATTATTTCGTTTGCAAAGTTGAGGAGGAAAGGAGATATGGGACAAACCTGACCAACCCCTCTTGTCGTTGTGAACTTAGGAGACAGTTTTCTCTAGATCTTTACACGAAATCGGGAACCACAGTAGAGAATCTGCATAACGGAAAGGAATTCTGCCAGCATGCCATTCATGGATAGGCAGTACCACAGGCTGACGCGGTCAAAAGCCATGCTCCACACACAGCAATGATTAAAGATTTGAAGGCGCCACAGGATCTCAGACCGAAACAGCCAAGTCTCACTACCATGAAGCAGAACGACCCGCACTGCGGCCTAGTAAACACGATCTTGCAGGCCTAGGGAAACACCCTTCTGACGCCAAAAAGGACGCAGATTGGAGAAGGCAGTTCTAGTTTTTGCAACATATAAACCGACTTCAGTCGCTGATGCAGTTGCCAACCTCATCATCAACAGCAATAGATCAGCCATTTGAACTGATGCTTCGCTGCCGTACAACCATAAAGACCTAAGGAACAAAGAATAATAAGAGGAAGAGAAGTGGGGTTTCCCGGAAAATCTTAATGCCCTAAGCAAAAAGGAAAGGTCAAGGCACCTCCACCTAGTCAACATGTCATCACAAACATCTGGCTATGGTGTAAGGATGGCATTAGTGAGACAGATTCCTTGCGGTTTTCACTGCGTAGGGTCATAGTCAGCCATTACCCCGCAGATGACTCAACGCCAAAATCACGATTTTAGCACGCATTCAGCAACAGACGCGCCACTGGTGACGGCTGCGAGTCATGCCTTGTAAGGTCTTGAGCCAAGAACAGAGTGGGTCACGTGGACGTCAGCCTGAGAAGCGAGATGCACCCACGGCACAAAGTTTGGTCGTCTGTGACGTCATTTCCCTAGAACAATTCAACTTTGTCCACCTAAAGCGTTGCGCCACCCTACATCTGGCAGACAAAACAAGGTATTCTTCGACAGGCGTTGACCGGGCATACATAGTACGTGCCCAAGCTAGCGCAACTTATTCAGTGGTCTGTTGATCTAAGGAACTAGTTTGGACACCATTGCTTAGCAGTCGCCAACGCACATCATCGTTGTGGACACGCCGATGCAATCTCACATCAGCAATGCTCCGCAGAGAGAGATGATCAAAGACTTGAAGGCGCCTCAAATCTTCAAACCAAAGGGGCCTCATCTCATTCCCATAGAGCAGGACGGCTATCATCGTGGTCTAGTGAACACGGTCTTTCAAACGTAGTGAAAATCCTTTCAGTTGCAAAAGAAGGCGCACACTCAAAAAGCAGTTCCGGGTTTGGTAATACGTGAAATGACTTCAGCACTTATGCGCCTATTGTGCTGATATCGATGCCAAAGTAACTCAAGTGGTCAACTAACTCAAGCTCCTCGGGACAGAGGGCCAAGAGATCATCAAATGACAGGTGGTACCGCAACAATACTTTGCACTTAGAAGGTGCGAAGCGAACGCCAAATAATCGGACCATTCCAGAGAAGGCATTCCGGGTTAATTAAGCCACCCCAACATCGACAAACACCAAGACGATATCGTCCCTATAAGCAAGACCAACTAACCTTCCACCAGACAGCACATCAAAGCCTGCATCGTGAAGCTCAACAAAAGAACACTCCATGGAGTTTAGGAAAGAAGTTGAAAACAGGGAAATTCGACA